ACAAAGAGAATATGATGCAGCAGATTACTTAAAATGGAAGACTGAATTTGATAAAAGCGCATATATTGCAAATCATAATCTCCTTATGAAACTTCAGGAATTTTTAGTTGAAAAAATGATAAGTGATCTTAAACGACAAGATGAAAAAAGTGATCAAGGTGATCAAGATAAAAAAAGTAATCAAAGAGGAAAAAGAGGAGGTTGTATCAATCAATAGTACCACTGATATGATTCATAAAATAAATCTCTGATTTTCAAATGATTCAATTTATTGTTACAATTGAATGTAATTCCAGCCGAAATCTCCATAATTCCTCATGAAAATCGTTTTCGGTATTTGCAGTTAGGGCGCCAGGTTATCAAGATGCTAGGTTGTCAAGGTGCCAGTATGACAAAATGTTCAAGACGCCAGGCTGGCCTAATTATTCTTTTATATATACGAGCTGGAAATCCTGAAACAGCTCTCGCCCTTGTGGTATTTCTTTGATTGCATTTCCTTCGAAATCCTTCCTATTACACCTTCGCGATAATTTCGCTTTCGCCGTTTTAACTTTAATTTCGCATATATAACTTCATTTATTATTTTTTTTTATTTTTAATTTCGGATTTTATTATTCAATGTTTATGTAATTGATTCGTATTTGCGTAATTTTAATTAAATAGAATTTAGTACTTGGCATTTACATAGTTTAAAATATTGATCAAGAAAGTGTAGAGCGCCGACGTTGAGGCAACACTGATAAATTTCATAAACGAAAGAACTAAATACAACAATATCTAGCTTAACCAGATAATGTAACGATATCATCATTTAATCGGAGGTTATTGAGTCACGTATTAAACATAAGTTTCGGTGGCCCACAAATTTTCCTATAGTTAAAAAAATGAATCAAAAATTATGTATAGGTACTTATTCCGTTGCAATTGATAATTTTTTTTTTGGAAAAAGTTATTCAAATCTATAATCCTTTCCTCTAAAAAAATTTTGTAATTCAAATTCGTTTGCTATATCGGTAGCATTAAACAATTTTTGCGTAAGATTTATTTAATAATGTCTCGCTCATTACTTTTTAAAATCCACATGAAATGAAAAATAACAAATGACACATTGGCCATATTTGTTAAAACTGATCATTGGAATATAAACTATAAATTTTTTGTTTTGATCATTTAAAGTAACTGAATCAGGACAACAAAACCCAAGATAATAAAAAACAAAAGTTTTATTATTATCGCTATTGTATCGTTTATGGAATTACTAAATAAGGTCTAGATCTGCAAAGAATAAATCTTCAAATATTTTTCTTCCTTTCTGTCTTTCTTTTTTTCTTTTTCATTTTTTTATAAAGAAATAAATCGATTATTTGTTCTATAACATGTAAGCCTCAGTTCAAATATTAACATTACCTACGCTTCATAAATTTTTTTCATTCTTTTATTTAACTTATTTCTAATAAGGACCCAAAAAGGAAAATCATCACCGTCAGATGAAGAGAGATTTCTACCGTTGAATATCAATGCGCCAGTTATACTCTTAATTGGAAAACCAGGTATGTGATATTATGCCTTTCCTTTATTTTCTATTGAAAAATTAATTTTTTACTTAGGTGCCGGTAAGAGTACGTTGGGAAATTATTTGTTAAGGATCTCGGAAGATGATAAGAACGCTTTTAAGGTCTCCGAAGATTTTGTAAGTTTAAAATGTGTCGTCGATATGAACTTAATATATATTAAATGTAGTTTTAACAATTTATCCGACATCCAAAACTTCTCAAATATGCTAGGAATCGATAACCAACAAATCTAGTTCCGCAATTTACAAAATTGGTGACGAAACTTATAACATCATCGATACGCCTGGGATTTTTGGTACCAAAAAGCTCAATGAAGAAATCATGGAAGAAATCGCGCGCACCGTACAAAGATGTGCTTATGGAATCAAGGCCATATTATTTGTTTTTGGTATGTTTGAGTTATTAAAATCAAGTTTGTTAAATCTAGGATTAACTGTTTGGTGCTATTATAGAAGCCAAAAGGTTAACGGATGAGCAAAAAAACATGATCGATGGTATATCGACGCTTTTCGGAGAAGAGGCCTTTCTAAATATGATTACTGTCTTCTCAAATTGTAATAAGAAAGATACGATAGACCCAGAAAATTTTGAAAAGTCTTGGAACAAAAAGGTTCGCATGTTCGTCGATCGCATGGATCATCGGTGGGCCATTGCTCCGAATCCAGAATACTTCCCCCCTGGTACTAAAGTGCATGAAAAATGTCTAGAAGATTTAGAAAATACTATTTGTACCCTAAATGGGATATATACAAATGAATTGCTCGCAAAGGCACGAAAGGAGCAAGAAGAACTCGCGCGGAATGCAAGGGAAGAGCAAGATGAGATTAAAATAGCAAAATATAAAACCAGGGCAGAAGCAGAAAACTCGAAAAGAAAGACTGAAGTACGTTGGGATACATTCTTTGAACAAATTTTTCAAAAATTTAGTCTTGGTTGTTTCTGGCTTGAAACCAGAGTTAAGCTTGAATCAGGAAGAATCGTTCGAATGTCAGAACTTCAAGTTGGAGATCGAGTGTTGTCAAACATCAGAAATGGTATTGAAGAGTTTTCAGATGTTTACCTTATCGCTCACATTGGTAAACTCGATCATGAAGAAAACTTTACCAAGATAAGCTTCACCAAATCAAACGGCTATAAAGGTGCTACAAATTACTTATATGTTTGAATAAATAAACACTCAAAATAACTGTTGCTTATTCGCTTTTAGGTCAATTACGGCTCACAGCCACCCATTATGTCTTCAATGAAAATTTATCTATCATGTTTGCGAAGGATTTACGTCCTGGAAAAACCAAGATTTTAGTATCTGATGGTAATAATAAGCTTGTTCCAGTCATTGTGGATGAAATAACGAATGTGAGTTGGATCAAGTTTTTCAATTTTCTGAAGAGTTCCGATAGATACTTACTTCTCATTACTTTTATTTATAGGAATGGCACGATGAGTATATTAGCTTTTACACTCGGGCGGGTTCAGTTATCGCCGAAGGCGTATTTTGTTCTTGCTACGACGATTGCCCGCCTTCTCAGTCGCTCATGGACCTTGTTTTTTTACCAGTTCGCTGGTGGACACTTTTCAAACCAAGCACGCATCGCGAAAAACACCTTCATCCTTATGTTCAGTTCTTGGAAACTGCATATTTTTCTTTTATCAATTTATTTGTGCAATAATAATTGCTATATAATTAACTAGTTTTTTTTTTTCCTTAAAATGTTTATTAAATTTCTTGAAATTTTGTTAGTAATACCGATTTAACGTTAATAACTAATAAAGTTAGGACACTTTTTTACTTTGCAGCCTTAAGCTTACCATGCAAGTAATAAACTTAACCGGTTTAGAAACATAACAATGCATGCCAACGGCAAGACCGAAATATTGAAACGCAAACCTCATTAAAATATAAGATTGTTTTAATAAAAAGAATTTTGGTGAAACTTTAATATTAATTATAGGAACAATAAAGTATAATAATTGTGATTTAATAATGTGAATGAAAAAGATTTTTTTTAATGTAATGTTTATTATTGTTCTTTTGAACAATATATGTTCTTTACACTACATCGTTCCAAAGAATTATTTTAATAGAAAAGGTTTATAAAATTATATGCTAAATATGAACCTAAAAATCATATTTGACGTAAAATTAATTTTTTCCCCTTTTCTATTATATAATATAAATAAGCTCAATTGAAGAAACCGGTTTAATTTTGTATTTAAATAAGTTAAATTTTCTTCGAATCCAAAGTCAGTAGTCAAGTGCCATTTTATAGTACCATATCACTGGTTTAATTCATAAAAATAAATCTCAATGGTTTACAAATGATTTAGTTAATTTGTTGAATATTTAGTTTAACCAGATAATGAAGTAAAACATAAATCACTTGATATATTATACTCTTCTCATCATTAAATTTATGACGCGATAAGTACCGTCGGTTTTACCATTAATAAGAAAATAGATTTCCTTGTAATCAAAATTAGTTTCTTTTGGATTGTTGCTAAATAGATTAATTATTCTAGCTTTTTCGGTGTGTTTTTTTTGTTATTTATTAGATTGATTCGAATGTTTCTATTTCGACACCTATATGTGTTGTTGAAGTTTAAAGCTCTAATATTTTGATTATAATAATATCAGTAAATAATGTTAATATTTAGGTAAAACCCTAAAAATTCATAAAACGACCTCGTATTAAAGGCTTTATTTTTAATATATAAATTTTTTATCTATTAATGTTAATGAAAAGTATCTATAAAAGGATGAAATACCATATCAAACATTAGGTAAATTTTTATTTATTCTTTTTATTCTTTTTTAATTTTTTTATTTTGTCTTTTTTTTAATCTTTAATCAGCTATATCAATTAAATAAATATAAAGCTTTTTTCTTTTGGTTATTACATTTTTGTTTTGTTTTAAATATAGTAGATGGATATAAACTTTTCTTCAGAATCATTCATAATTATCCTTCAACTCGTCGGATTTTTTTTTTAACAAAGAATCCGCAGAAGATTTTTTAAAATTTGTGTAACAATAGGTCGGCATGTTATATTTTAAACTCGTTTTCTCCTTGAATTCAAAAATAGTATGTTTGGAAATTCCAATTCCATATCTTGAGGATAATTTGTGCTTTAGAAGGCTTTTTCAGAATTTCATGATTACTTACTTGGCTGGGTTTGGCTAATACTGAAGAAATGAAATGTATGTGAGAGAATCAGTATATTAAAAAAGTTAAGCAACACATTCGTTTTGATCAATTATTACGACGCAAAAGATACCTTGATGTTCACCTGAATTGGGTTAGGTCATAAAAAGGCAAAGTTAGTTAAAATAACAATGGTATACGATATTGAAAAAGCGCGTTAACACAAATAGGAATACACCAAGTGGCAAGAGTAAATTTTTCATCATTCGTATTTAAGATACGAAGGATCACACAAGAGCTTTATTTTTAGTGAAGTGAAATAAAGTAAGTATTTCAATATTTTTTCTTGATATTAAAATGATTTTCAATTTTAACCTTGAAGAGTGCCTCGAGTATATACTTTTAATAATTTTAAGAACTATTTTTGGTAGAAAAGAAATACATTAAAATATGATATCTTGTAAATTTTGTTTAAAATATGAAACTTTCATAAGTTGAAACGTATTAAATATAAGTTTAGACGATTTAAGTGGCCAACATTTTTTCAGACGATTAAAATAATCATGCAAATTACTCATGTCATGCTATTATAACTTCGATTTTCATAAATCTTTTTCTATAATATTTCGTACATGTCGGACATAATTGATATTACTCAAGCACACCAATTTCAAGGATAAATTCTCGAAAATAATTTTCTAAGCTAACTGATCTAGAACTTGTCCTAGCCTCAAGCTTAAGAATTGTAGCCATAAGCTTAAATAGGAATAGTTATTGCCCAGTTTTAATTTTGCTATATTGGTATCAAATTTTATGTATTAAAAATATTTACGTATAAATTATTTAATAATGACATTTATGAAATGTTTCTAACCAAATTCGAAAAAACATCATACATATTACTAACTGAACAATACCCCTCAAGATAATAAAAAACAAATTTTATTATCGTCATGGTTTCGTTTTTATGGATTACTAAATAAGGAAATAAGGTCTAGATCTACTAAGAATCTTTGATTCTTTCCTTTTCTCTTTTTAATCTTTTTATTTTTTGATTTTTGATTTTTGATTTTTCTTTTTTTAAAAAAGGAGGACAGAGTGATTGCTCTATAATATGTAAGTCTCAGTCAAATATTAATGCTTTCATGAAATGTTTTCATTCTTCCATTAAACTTATTCCTAATAAGGATCCAAAAAGGAAAATCATCACCGTCAAGATCGCTACCGTTGGATATCAATGAAGAAAAATTGCCACCTTTGGAGATAAATGCGCCAGTTATACTTTTAATTGGACAAACAGGTATGTGATATTATGTCTTTCCTTCATTTGCTATTGAAAAATTAATTTTTTACTTAGGTGCCGGTAAGAGTACGTTGGGAAATTAT